AAGATAGTTTTTGTCGGTTGAAGCTCCGCATTTCTACCCCTCTGTGGCTTCAAACACATCCAACATGGCCAAGGCAATCCCTGGCGTCCATCCCAGTCTTGCTGATTATTTTTTGATATTTAAATCCATTTTGTTTGTGATTTAGAACAACTTGCAGGTGAACCCTCCAGTTTTGCCCAAATCCATCCAAATCCCAGTTTATTGATGATTAAATCAACATTTGTGTTGGTCCAATCTAAATTTTCGATGGTTCAATCACATTTGGGTTCTGAAAATAGGGCACCCTAAGATTTGATGATCAGCATTTTCCAGATCATAAGTTATAGCTATTTTTTTGGGCATAGGGTATAGCCCATTTTGTTCAGCCGACAAAGCCATTTCAGCAATGGTGAGGCTTCCTGTTCTTGTACCTGATCCTGTTGCCCTTGGGACTTCTGCAAGAGTTGGGTGTCCGGATCCTTGGGAACCTGGGAAAACTCGATGCAAAAGTGGAACGGGCAGCAGGCGATTCCTGGACTCTTGATTTCTATGTTTTGAGTATAAGAAAGTCTAAGATCTCTCTTATCTCTCTTAACCGTCTTAAGCAATTTTGGGATGATTTTTCAGACATGTAGACATTTGTAGATTTTTTTCATCCACAAAAATTGCCCATATATTTCCATTTCTTTTCCATATACCCTCTGGTTATTTAACATAGCCATGGTATAGATGGCCCATAGAAATAGATGATTTTCCCAGCAAAAAAATACCTCCATATATCTATTTTGGGGATTTTCCATGGCGAACTGTTAGTCATAACCAGATGTCAATGGCCATTTCAGGATCCTAAATTGGAGGTACCTACCATATATAAGGCCTATGTAAGGGAATATCCCCACAAAATATGGCCTTATATGGTACAGTACCTCCATTTTAGGATCCTGGAATTCCCATTGAAGATGGTCGTATCCATTTTCATCACATCGATCATCCCGCCGCGGCCAAGGCGGGAACCATGTTGGCCGAGCAACTGATCGCCTTTGCTCTGCTAGGTGCGTCGACTGGGAGTTCGGCTGGGAATGATATCATGGAGATATCATGGGGATGGAGCTGGTGCTGGAGGGTGCAGTTGAGGTTACTTTTTATGGGTATAACCGTGATTATAAACCCCATAACTGTGGCACCATTCCACTTTTTGCACTGGAACCACACTTCTGGTGATCTACTGGGGATGTAGTTGGGGTTCAATAAATTTTGGAACCAATCTTTTAAGCAGCAACATTTCACCATCACTGGGGGAGTATCCAATGATTTTTTGCAAAAAAAAACACCGGTTGGCTTCGATGATTTCGAGCCGCGATCGTGATGACAGAAGAACAGGTGAAGATGCGAGGATCGATAATCCCCATATGTGACATAGATACATGCACAAGGGTACAAAATCCGACCCAGGTTTTTTTTGGGTCCTTGTGCTACCCCATTTCGGGCTATATGTCTGTTGGCTGTTTCAAGCCCCTGTATCACTTGATATTTGCACTTTTTGGTTGAGTTACCCTCTGGGAAACTAACGTTTAAGTATGGAAAATCACCATTTTCAATGGGTAAATCCACGAACTAAATGGGCCATTTCCCATAGCTATTTTGACATAACCAGAGGGTAGAATATTTTCACCCAAAGATGTCGTGTGTCCAAAGATGGGTTAATTCATCATGATGAGTTCCCATAAAATGTCAGCGAATCTTCCCATTACTCACTGGGTTTCACCCTTGATGAATTCCTCATGGATTCCGTGCCAGGGATTGAGAACGTGGCCGCCCTCCTCGAGGAGATTTCGAGCACGTGGGCTACTGTAGGGCTAGAACATGGGCTGTTCCAGCGATTTTCCGATGGATTTTCATGGTTTATTCTATTGGATGATTCGGGTAGAATGGTGTGCAACATATTGCAACATATTTCATGGTTTATTCTGTTGGATGGTTTATTCTATTGGATGATTTTGGTTGGATGATTCTATTGCAACATATTGCAACCCCCCGGCCGAAACCACATTGGGAAATGATCACGAATCATCTCGATGGAGATGCTGTGGAAGCGTTCAATCTTTCAAGGGATGAGCGTGCGAGTTATGAACTGCTCAGTTGGGTTATACTTCCAGTAACATCAACAAATTCGTTATAGCAGAAATCCAATCTTTAGCCCTAAACCAAGTTGGTAGACTTAAACCAACTACTATCAACTGTAATTCCCAGATTCTTATTAGTTAGCCTCTGGTTGTTTAACATAGCTATGGAAAATGGCACATTTAGTTCGATGATTTATCATGATTTTCCAATCAGAAGTTGTCATTTTCCAGTTCACTACATTAAGTAATCAGAGGTTATTGGATACGTTTAAACAATGTTTGGAGGTGAACCATCGAAAATGGGAGATTTTCTACATTGTTAGTTGTGACATGTTTATTGGTTAGCTTCCTATGTGGGTACAGTATTTTTCCATATCTTTCCATACCTGTCCTCTTTCAATATTTGCGCATATGTATATATATATCATATACCATACAGTATATGTAAGGTAAGTGTTATATCAATACGCAATTAATCCATTTATATATTATTTGTTATACGGGGCCATGATTTAAGTAGCAATGTCGGGTAAATCCTATGCTTTCCCACATTTCTCCAATATTTTTTCCATATATTGCCATATGTTCTTCATATTTTTTCCATCTTTTTTTTTGTAATTCCAATGTTTTTTTCTCAATTCTTCCATATCCTTCCATATTTTTCGTTGGTAAATCCTATGTTTTTCCAGATCTTTCCCAGATTTGTCCCATTTTTTCCGTATTTTTTCCATATTTCCAGATATTTCCGATTTTTTTTTCAGCTTTTTCCATATGTTTTTCCATATTTCCGTATTTTTTCCATGTAGATCAGCCGGCCTCCCGGCTCGCCTCGTGACCGTACCGGGCGTCCGCCGGCGGCCGTAGGAGCCGTTCCTGGCGCTTCCCATCGATCAGATCTGCGCCATCACCGCACGGGATTCGCAGGACTCCGACGGCTCCGCCGCACGGGATGTCATCCTTCCATTATAAAATGTTAGTTATAGTTGAAGTTATAGTTATAGTTAGCTATAGTTAGTTATAGTTTATTAGAACTGAGTTATAGTTTGTTATAGAATTAATGTTTGAATATTGGTTGCACTAGTTAGTTGTAGTTAGTTATAGTTGGAATTTAGTTATTGAATGTTAGTTACAGAATATTAGTTAGTTACAATAGTTAGTTATAATTAGTTTTGTAATAATAATAATAACAATAATAATAATAGTAATAATAATAATATAGTAATAATAATAAATATGTATAATAGTTGGCTAGTAACACATAATTATATTCATTAGATATGAATATGGATTAATTAGATATTAGTGATACTATTACAAGTAATCAGGTATTAACTATTGTCATTGGGCCTTATTAATAATAAGAGTAATAGAGATTATCATTAGTAATATAATTGAAAATTATAATATATTAACAATAATTGTTAATAGTCAAGAACATTAGAAGTAGTTGGCTAATGATAACACCAACAATAACCAATAGAGCTAGTTAATAATCTTAATAGTTAACAATGACAAGAGTTCATACCTACCATTTGGGGATCGTTTATACCACCCATAAAAATGATGATTTTGGGCATGATTGATTATTGTGTTTAACGCAGTATAGTTAACAGTTAAGAATACAAGTATTTTTTCAATGATTATCTTGTTTTTATACTATGTATCCTGTTCTTTTATCACTATCACTATCATCATTACTTTTATCAATTTACTACAACCCACAATGCTTTACTTGGATGTATTAATATGGTTATAATTGGCCGAGGATCAACCAAATACTAGTGCTTAACAATTGGGATCCACTTAATTATAACATTGTCCCCACTGGGAATTTCAGGGAATCAGAACCCAGTTATATACATATCCAATTCAATATTTCATGATATGAATCCAATCGAAACCCTGGTTTAGTGGCCGATTTTTTTTTGGGGCGGCCCAAAGATTTTGGGTATTTCCTATGGGGCATTGGATCCAGCAGGGTTACTCTCCAGTTTTGAATTGGAATCACTCAGTCAAGGGACTACCCATAGTTCGACGGTGGTTAACAACCCTGGCCAATGAATCCGTGTGCAGGGGAAGTGAGAATATGGCAGGGGCGCCATCCTCGTTTTTGTGGTTGGCGATGATATTTCTGTATCTATATCCTGAAGTAGATTAAATATAAATATTTTTCCCCAACAGCAAAACTTTGCTATGAGGTCTTTAGCCCAGATTAGCTCCGGTGCGATCCGGTGCAGCTTCAACACCAGGTTCCGGACAAAGTTCCGGAGGGTTCTGGTGCAGATACCTTGTGAGGTTCCGGAGGGTTCCGGTGCAGATACCTTGTGAGGTTCCGGAGGGTTCCGGTGAAAATACCTGCTGAGGCTCCGGAGGGTTCTGTGCGGTTCCGGAGGGTTCTGGTGCAGATACCTTGTGAGGTTCCGGAAGTTTCCGGTGCAGGTACTCGGTGAGGTTCCGGAGGGTTACGGTGCAGATACTTGGTTAGGTTCTAAAGGGTTTTCAGGGCAGATACCTTGTGAGGTTCCGGAAGGTTCCGGTGCAGAGACCTTGTGAGGTTCCGGAGGGTTCTGGTGCAGATGCTTTGTTCCGATGTTTTTTATGGCATAAGCACTTAATTTTTATGGCATAAGCGCTCACTTTTTATGGCACAAGCGCTTTTTATGGCAAAAAAGCTGTTGGGGATAGCGCCTGAGTTTATTTTTGTTCCCATGCTATTGACATTTTAGTAGTTTTTTCCTGAAATTTCCATCTTCTATCTGTGTCAGGATGCTTATATATATATATACATATATATATATATGTATACATACTGTAAACTGGATGCAGGCTCTTCCAAATCCCCTTGAAGACACAAGTGATGTCGAACACCCGAAGCAAATAACCCCTATGATGGGGACACTAGTTAAAAGGCTCCTCCACGATCACCACACCGCTCCAGGAAGCGCCCACAACCTTTTCTGAAAGGCAACACTGCTGATCCAGGTTATGGCTACCAAGCCAACGTACCACAGAGCGTCCACGCTCAATGTCACCGGCACGGGTGAGCTCCCAAGCTCAAACTATGGCAGCAAGGCACGAGTGAAATCCCTACCCGCCTTCTCCCGGGGCTCCCTGAGCCGCATGTGCCTACAGCGTTCGGAGGCTTCTGATGGCTGTTCAAGCAAAGGAACCTGGGCAACAAGTGGAAATTCACACTCGCTATTTTTCTTTAGTTGATTGAACAGCATTTTCATTGGTGTATTTCTCATTGGATTGTTGTTTCAGCCATTGAACCCTGTCACGCGTGCGGGCTCGGTCACGCAACAAGGAGCTCTCATCCGTCAGTTTGTAAGTGCCTAATCTTAAAGTCTCTCGCAAAAACTGAGATTCCATCACTTTGGTTAGTGCATCCGCTAATTGTGCTCCTGTTGAGACCCAGCGAAGATCTATTCCCTCTTGGAGAGAGTCTTTGATGGCTCGAGCAACCAAGGCAACCCTGAACTCAGCGCATTGTGGAGGTGCTGTACGGGTTATCAGGTCAAAAAGCGACTTACAGTCTGTGACAGCAACATCCATTTCGGCTGGGGATGTAGCTACGGAGATGGCTGGTGCAATTCGTGTCAAGGCTTCTTCAGGTCTCTTCCAAGGAGTCTTAGGATTGTGTAACCATTCCCAAAATAGCCTTAGCCAACTTAATTGATCCACTGCGGATGCAAGAGCATTGGTTTCTGCTGATAATGTACTGGTTACAACCTTTTGAATTTTACGACTTCCCCAAGAAATTGGACTAATGACACATTGCTTATTTTCACTGATGTCTTGGTGGGTTCCAACGATGATAAGTCCGGCATGTGAGTCTGGTTTCTTTACTGAAGCAAAGGACGCATCAGAGAATCCCATGAATCGGAATTGTTTTGGGGGAATGGATTTTATAGTGATCGTTACATCATGGTGACGTTTGGCTTCATGTAGGAGTCGGTTGGCTTCCTGAAGGTTCTCGATGGTAGCTGAATTTATTGAAGATTGTAATTGGGATAACCTGCTGGACAAATCTGGGCGAGTATTGACAGCTGCGTATTGAAGTGATCCTATTAACCCCCTGAGGGACGCACGTTCAGTTTCGCTTACCGGTGCATCGGTCTGTGTTTTCCGATGAGGCTCTATGCTTATGGGGTTAATTTTCCGGACATAGCTTGATTGGTTTAGGGAAATACTGTAATCTCCATGTTGGCACAAGTCTATTCCCGTGAATGTGAAAGATTGGACTTTCTTGGATCCGAATGCATATTTGGCTTCAATCTTTTGGAGAACTTCTTGAAACTTCTGGTTTCCAGCACAAATACCATCATCAACATGGATTCCTAGGATTCCATTGAGTGCTCCTGGTTGGTTGGTTTCGGGTCCCTCACGCAAAACGAAAAGACATGGATCAAAAGGACACGGTTCCATTCCCAGCTGCAGCAAGTGTTCTACGAATGCTTTATACCACAAGTATGGTGCGTCGATGAGTCCGTACGCACTTTTATTGAGGATTCCAACTTCGTGATCTTGCATGTTCATGGCTTTCTGTAATTCAGGTACCGGCTCTATTCCAATGATTCGTCCCTTTTGTGGGGTCCCCTGTAGGAAAGCTGCTTTAACATCGAATGAAGTAAGTTCCCATTGGTGTGATGCTATTGTCTGGAGAACTAACATTCGGGATGTTTTTCCAAGGGTTGGGGAATCCCGGGGTATTTGGTCTAATTTTGGATCTAGATATCCCAATACCACTAGACGAGCTTTTGCTCGATGAGTTTTCCCTTTTGGGTTCTTGGAATTGGCAGTGATTTCTGTGGAGTCCAATGGCTTCCAAGTGAGGATCCATCTACATCTAAGGATTTGATCATGTGGAATTTGATCTCTGAATATTTTGCTGATTGTTCCCGTTTTGATCCAATTGTCAATCTCGGCTTGTTTGGCGACTTCGAACTCGGCCTTCTCCTGTCTAGACAGTTCGCCAAGTCTGACTTCTGATCGTTGTTTTCGGGCAGAGGAGGCCAGCATGGTCCAAGCTTCAACCGTAGATAAATCCGAAGCATCATATGTGTTTGGTATGGGTATGTCAAACTCACATTTCCAGGCTAGATCGATTGGAGTTTCGCTCAACAGGGCTCCTGGCTCTTCGGTACATACCATGAATGCTTCTTCTTCTTCTTCTTCACTTTGGGTGTTTTCGGATGGGATGCTAGGATCTTGACTACCGGCTTCTGGTTCCTGATCAGGCTGTTGGGATGTTCGGAGGCTCTGTGTTTCTTCTTCCTCAGCTGGAGTCTGATCCATGTTCTCCATGTCATTATCTTGTGGGACTATGGGTTCATCAGGGTTATTGGATGGATCGACTATACTGGGGGAGTCTACCCGAACACTTTGGTTATTCATTCTGTCAATCTGGTTTTGGAGAGCGGTCAAATCTTCCGGGAGCTCAGGACCACAGGGCATTCCTTCTTCCGGCAGGGCCAGTCGCACATGTTCAGGAGCTGAACGGAATAGTTTTCCCGCTGTGGTTGTCCACACTGTGTGATTACCATCCTGTATAATTACCCTATGGGGACCGATCCAATTGGGTTGGTTCGCATTATGATTACGCCAGATCATGACCCATTGATTAGGTTCATACTTTCCTCGGTGAGGACATGATCTTCTCAGGATGGCTCTGCGAAGGGTTTCGCTATTATCTACACTGTGGAAGGCTTTCCGGGCGTTTTCTCGAATCTTCAGCATTTTCTGAAATTCCGAGGCGTCAAGACCATTTTCTGGATTGGTGGCCATTGCATGTGATGGGATGGACTCGTCGCTGAGTATTGACCCTGGCACACGTGTGTGTCTCCCAAATACTATCACCTCTGGTGCATATCCGTGCCGCACACTAAGTGCATTCTTAGCTTGCGTACATTGATTTAAAACCCTTTGAAGTGTAGTATATTCTTGGATATTGTGTTCAAGGTCCATCTTTACTAACATCTCTTGAAGAAACCGGCCATGTCGCTCAATCTTACCATTTTGCCAATGGGCTTCCGGACAAATGGTGGTTGGCTTTATGGACATGGTTTGCATGTACTGAGAAAATTCTTCACTGTTCAGTTCAGTTCCCGAATCGACTTGGATTTCATGAGGTGCTCCAGCCCAACTGATCCAATGTTGATTAAGGAGATGAATTACATCTTGAGTGGTCTGTGATGGGGCAATTATGGCTACATGATAGTTGGTTCCCGCATCAAGGATGTGATAGAAATGAAAGGATTTCCCCTGTTGGTTTGTCCATGTTATTCCATCAACATAGGTCTTGTAGTTGAAATCCATCATGGGCTTTAAGGTTCCGGGTCTTTGATGTTTCGGTGGACTACACGCGGAACACACTGCGCATCTGATGTCAAGCGCACCTTGGACCAGCTCAGGTCTCTGACCACTGGATTCTAAGGCCTTGGCAAGTCTTTCGTTGGACGGATGTCCCAGATTTCGGTGCATTTGCAACAATTGGGCTTGTTCCCATTTAGGTAACCGTAAAAAGTTCATACCATGTGCATGGTTATCTTCAGAGTCCTGGCTCGTGGTGCCGTCCAATGGAATCATTTCAGATTCCGGGACAGGGGAACTTTCGGTCTCAATGGGTGCTGGCACAGGTGCTGCCGTTGATCTTGGTTCCTCCTCCGTTACGTTCGGAGGATGATTCACATTTGGATCTGCAGACGTCACGGGTCGCTGGCTGGAGGCGTCGAGACTGGCTCTCGGGAGCTGGCTGCTTTCACGATTCCGAGCAAACATAGTGATGTTCAACCTACAGGCATGTGAAGGTCTGATGAGTTGTCTCTTGGATAACATTGACCAGTTCTCCCAATAAGTTTCAACCTGTACTTCGCCAGTGGGTCGTGCTACCATCAGTGCCTTTCGGAACGGTGCTTGCGCTGCTAGCAAATTGGTTGGTGGGCCGATGGTCCGATCCGTACCACGACAGGCAATCACCTTGACAATCTCTTTATCCCCAAAAAGTTCTTCCAATTGGTGTAGGATGGATGCATTATTGATCTCCAGCTTACCAACACGTGGTGCTATGACATTGATTCTTTTGATAACGTCCTGAAACTTCTCAAGGCTGGGTTCTGAATGATGTTTTCCGGTGACGCGGCGTTTCTTGGAAGGATGGTCATCAGCAGTTGGAATGGTGAGCTCTGATTTTGGAAATCTGTCTTTGTGAGTGGATGGTTTCTGAATGGTTCTTGAACGTTCTGAAACGTATGCCTGGGCTGCTTTCGGTTCGGCGTGGCATGGATCTTGGCTGCGGACTCTGGCGATCATGCCAGGTTGCCACATGAATGGCCACTCATTGGTACCTTTCCCAAGGACTTGGGCAACAGCTCTGGCAAACTTCCGGGGATACACTGCCGTGAATTCTGTTCTGTACATCATGCCGTTGGGTCCTGTGATGCTGCCCTCAATGGCTTGATGATCATGTTCCCGATTGCATACTTTTCCATGAAGAAACTTATACAACGATGGATTTGTTGTCATCACTCCCATACTTTTGCGCATGTACATTCCAGTTTGTGGGCATTTCAGTTCACCTACCTTACACATATCAAACTGACAGAGCTGGGTATGATGACGAATTTCGCTAAGCCAGGGACTGTACAACATCATTGATCGGAGTGGTTGTTCAAGATGAAAATGCAACCCCTGCTGATACTGATATCTAAACAGGACAATACATAATGCAAGTTGATACAAAAGCTCATGCCTTCGTTGCTGATAGGCCTCAAGTGCCTCTGGAGATCGGGAGGCATTCAGCTGCGCCCAGGATGACCATGGTCCACAATCCGGACTCATCCAGACATGTTTTGGTCGATGTTGGGCCATCATGATAAACAATTTTCCTCGGCCGGCAGTTGTGGCCAAATCACCCTGGTCATATCCAAAACGGAACGCTCCCTCTTGAAGCTGCTGCATCTGGTGCGTCAATGGTGATCGTTCACTGCAAAAGACTTCGGCTAGGCAAAATGGCTTCCCTAGTGGTTTTACTTCTTGACACTTTTGGTTCAATTCCTTGGAAAATTGCCTAATGAGTTTCTGGACATGAGAGGCATCTCGATGCATTACTGTGAACGCTGAATCATCATTGTTTCTGGCTGCAGCTTCTACGGAAATTCCTCTGGGCTGGTCACTGGCTCGGCTGTGTTGGTGTTCTGCTCGATGTGCTGGATCACTCGCTGAAGAGCATTCTCCATGAACAGCATTCGATCTCTCATGGCGAGGAAGTCGGGGTCTTGCTGCAAGGGATTCGGCATCATGGTCTCCGATGCATACATCTCGGAATTCCAGTCCCAGACTTCGTCGTCTTCTCCCATCTGGCCGGGCGAACAACTGGGCATGTTCAGACTGGCATGGACTCCTTGGTGAGATGCGCACCCCTTGGCCTTGGCCTGTGGTTTTGCCTTGGCCTTGGAGGCTATGTTCAGTCCCACTGGACGGGACACCTGGCTTTGCATCTTCGGAATGGGCATCTGTGATTGTTCGTGCTGCTCGATCTTGAGCTCGATGAACCTGATGGCACGGCGATGAGCCGTCTTCGCACTGTTCCCATACCGGTTCAGCATGAACTGGCACCATTCCTGATCCGGCCAAGCCTGGCTGTGGGTCATGCCGTTGTACTTGCTCCCGAAGGTGATCACCTCGTTCTCGAGTTCCGGAAGAGTCAGATGACTCAGGTCCTCCACTTCGGAGGGAGCACTCTGTTGCAAGGCCTTCAAGCGCTGGCTCAGCGACATGATGGGATCGTTCTAGAAAGATCGAGGTTCCTGCGGATGTCCTATCTTGGGCCGAGGCTGACCCAGAATTATGGTTTTCAACACTGGACATGAGGCTCACGGTTTTGCTTTCATCTGGTTCAGAGGCTTTGGCAACACATGGACTGCTTTCTCTGACGATCTGAATTCCAGATTCTTCCATTGGTTTCTTTTGAATTCGGTTTTCAATTTCGGCAATTCTGACTGCAACTCCCACTGGCTTAATGGCGTCAACTTTTATGTGAGCGGTGTCGGACAAAAAGGTCTCAGTGACAGGCTTCGCTGAGTCACTGCTGTGCAAGGCATGACGTCGGGCTGACAGTGCAATCTCATTCAAATCAACCAAGAACAGGCCGCGACTGGTCAAGTGCATGGCGATCGGCTGATCTAACTTGGCACTGCAGAACTTTCGGTGCTCGCAGTCTATCTGCGCTGCAAGAGTTCTCATGAGGGTGTTACTGATCAGGAAAGGAGTCTTACCTGGGACCACTGCGATCTTCAGCTGAAGTTTTCCAATGGGTACCACAAGTGCCATCGTGCTGGTGAGAGTCCCTTGGTTTCCAAACCGAAAAGTTACATCACACTGGCAACGTGAAAGACCTTTCTGAATTATGGGATCCAAACCCTCAATCAACTCCCGAACATTATCTGCACCAATTACTGTCTTTGAAGCACCGAGGTCCAAAACACCAAAAGTACTGTGGGTTGCAAACAGGGCTGTTTCACATGGAACATGATTATGTGGCATGGAGACTTCCTTCTTGAAACATGTTCTGGACTGGCTTGGTGTCTGTACAAAACTGACGGATGAACTACGATCGGACTTCTCTGCATTTCGGCTAGCGATCATGGATTCACCAATCATCAGACGTTTCCTGAGGCGTTCTCTGGCTGACATTGCCGGAGTTTCCATGGGCTCATGCACATGTCTAGATTTCCCCAGAATCCTACCCCTGTACATGAACTGACTGGTTGGTTGTTCCAAAATGGACACAAAACATTCCAAAAAACTATGCTGAGGGACAGGCACTACCTCCAATGGCATGATCTCGGATGACATCGGCAGCTGTCGGAACTCCAAGGGCAACGGATCAATCTCCTCTGTGATCACGGTGGTGGTTGGAGCTGCATTGGTGCTGGTCGACGCTTGGGATCCCGATGGTTTCATCGGGCACTCAGCTTTCCAATGGCCCTTTTGGCCACACAATCTACACGAGGAATTCATGATCCTTTCTTGCAACGATCGATTGCGACGAGGCTGATTAAAGGATTTGCCCTTTCCAGATGCCTTGAAACCTCCATAGCCCTTGCCTTTGGAGGCATTTCCAGCAAATGGCCTGGTTGGCCAAAATCCACGGTTCTTGTATCGCTCTGTCAATCGATGTCTGGCTTGCTGGTATGCTGAGTAAGCTGTTGCTAACTCAGCATCTTCCTGCAGGGTCTCCGTCATTGCTTGCTCATAGTCTGCAATGAGCAAGGCATCTGAGTCACCTTCTTGGACCATCTCTTCAATGAAGTCGTCCAGTGTGTCCTCCGCTGCATTCAATGCTGACTCCGATTCCTGTGGATCATCACCTGCTGCATCCATGGTCAGATTGGCCTGATCATAAACCTTGGTTCGGGTGGCCTTTTTCTGGCCTGTCATCTCCTGAAAGAAAACGGCACCTAAGGTTCTGATAGCATCAGTGACCTTCTCAACAGTCAGTTTTCCGTCCTTCTCGGATTCGAGGATCACACGTTTCTTTTCTTCAGTTGCTAACAAGGATCCCCGTAGGAGAATATAGGCTTGCAGCTCTGAGACATCCATCTTTCGGCTCAGCAAACGGGACCACAAAATGTCTGCCCTTGCTATGTAGCTGTCGTTGGACTCATCTTGATGTTGATGCGTCTCAAACAATGCACGCTCTGCATCCTGATACTGGGTCTGTAAAGGGATTTTGCCCCAATGTCCACCCAGTAGTTCTACAAGCTTATGCACTGCTTTCATCTCACCTGACAACAGTTCGGTCTGATGGAGCTGAAGTTTCTGGAATGCACTGCCTTTGCACCCCAAAATCAGTCTGGTGACCAATTCGGTCAAGCGCTGCTTTGGCCATGCTGCTGCCACCAACTCCACCTTCTGCTGATAAATGAGAACGTCATCAACACTTGGGTCAAACGCCGGGACCAGTGAAGCTAATTGGTTTGTAACTCCCAGTCCACTGTCGGCTGCCGTAGAGGCTTGTGACATACTGCCCCGGATGCCCCACCGTCAAAATACCCGGTGGAGCTCCGCTACCAGTGTAAACTGGATGCAGGCTCTTCCAAATCCCCTTGAAGACACAAGTGATGTCGAACACCCGAAGCAAATAACCCCTATGATGGGGACACTAGTTAAAAGGCTCCTCCACGATCACCACACCGCTCCAGGAAGCGCCCACAACCTTTTCTGAAAGGCAACACTGCTGATCCAGGTTATGGCTACCAAGCCAACGTACCACAGAGCGTCCACGCTCAATGTCACCGGCACGGGTGAGCTCCCAAGCTCAAACTATGGCAGCAAGGCACGAGTGAAATCCCTACCCGCCTTCTCCCGGGGCTCCCTGAGCCGCATGTGCCTACAGCGTTCGGAGGCTTCTGATGGCTGTTCAAGCAAAGGAACCTGGGCAACAAGTGGAAATTCACAACATACATATACATATATATATATATACATACATACACACACACACATATATATATATAAAATGTATATGCATATCTAGTGTTGATAGGCTGGCTAGCTTTCAAGGGTCCGGTCCCACATGCAGGCGCTCCGAAATGATTGGGACAGGTGGACTCGGGGGGGATTCGGTGGACGGCCCGGGGGAGTTGTGGGAGTTCACCATGATTTCTATACTATAGTGTGAACAATAATGGTGATAATTAATGGTTTAATGGGGGTTATCATAGTTCACTCATGTACTATTAACACTATAGTTAGTGTGTTGATAATAATTGGACTAATGGTGATGAATAGTACATTCCCATCATTCCATTCATATTAGTGACATATTAGTGATTGATACAGGAATGGGGCCTCCGTTGGATAGCGTTCAGTTGCCTGAAAAAAGTGGCTGAATTCTCTGATTTATGGTAGATACAACTGATATAACGAACTAGTGAATGTTTTTTCTTTAATGGTTTATAAAGCAACGTTCACATCACTGGGGGGTCCCATCCTGTAGGGGCCCCCATGAACTTTACCTATTCTTTGGCGATCATCATCCATGTTTCATGGGATAAGTGGCAATCCCCATTTCCCAACTAGGATTAAATAGAAATGACATTCAGGGTACATAAACACATACATATCTTCATTATTGGTTATATTTCCCTGATATTTCAGAAATATCCTCAGCATATCTCCTTTATCTCCTCATTGTTCCTGGGTTTTGAACACTGCTCAGATGGGCTGGTTGGTTTGCTTGATCGTTCCTTCCTGCATGAGACTTCTGCCTTGCCGAAAGATGACCTTGACCTTGGCACTTGGAATTTTCGCATGGTGGAGCTCCAAAGACATGGGGCGGCGATTCTGGCTAGTCACAAGCTGTTAACACCACATGTTTTGGTATTTTAGTACGTGTACCCTCCAGTAAACTCACATAGCTATGGAACATGGCCCATTTACAGATGATTTGCCTATTCAGTTGGTGATTTTCCATCGCCAGGCTGTCTTTTGGCGGCAGCAGCCAGGGCTTGCCGTGTCGCTTGGATACCGCAGTTGGGCATCCGTTTCATTCCACTTGAGTTTTGTCCAGTCAACCTGAATTTTGTTTTGGGGATTGAACATATTGAACCATTCTTTACGGCTTGAAACAGCTTGAACATGTGTGGGTTGAAGCCACCAGTCCAGAGATTGCCACTGAGGGTATGCCTTCAAACCGCAGCTGGGGCAGCACTTGTTGTGGGTGGGATGCAGATTGATGCACTTGTGCCCCAAATATTTTCAAGTGGATTTCCTGATTTTTCTTCCAAACGGGCATCACCGACATCTCAGCTTTGGCCTATCCCTGGCGTCGCGGTCGTTCACCCAGGGATGCCGCGGTGTTGTCGCAGAAAATGGTGGCAGCTGAAGAGGTGGAGATGCAATATACCTGACCGAAGAGCGACCTTTCAAGGAGCTCTAAGGGTTGGTTTACACCATAAAAAGTCGATAAAAAGTCGATAAACATCCGCATAAACATGCATATGATTAGATGGCGAGAAGCCCCTGCGAAGCCGATTTTTTGCATCGTGCAAACATCTGATTCTGTAAGTTGCGAACTTACTGTAGCTTCCAACTGGATGGTTTGGTTGCTGTACATGTGTCAATTTTCTTTATTTTGTGGTTACTGTATATACAATGATTTGCAAGGATTTGCCAATCATATATCATATATCCCACTAAGAGTTCTCAACATATGCGAAGGGGATCAAGGAGCTGAGATGAAACGGTTTTTGGTCACCAAAGACTGGGTCATTTTGCAAGATTCAACTATATAAACCAATCCAACTAAACCAATCCAACCGTTCAACAAAAAAAACTATTCTCAAAAATCATTTTGAAACTACTTGGGAGGTCATTTCGGTCATTTTGGCCGCCGGGGTGGCATGATTCCAGCAGAAGAATTTGCACCCGCGGCGTCCTTAGTTCGTGCCTGGTTTTCCATGCCTGCTCCGCCCACGGCGGAAATCACAGACGCACAGAAAATCGTATCTTGCGGGCCTGGACTCAGATGTTCCCCGAGGTTAGCTACATGGCAAGGGTGTTGAAACCCATGGGATCCAATGATATCCCAGTTGAATGCTGAGAAAGGGCTACTCGCATATAGTATCCACCTGGCTAACCTCAAGGAATATTCCTGCAGGCTCCCTTGTTTCACGTTGCAGCTGTGGCTGCCGCTTGACGGGCCATAGGTTTTTTTTGGTTGGACAGTTTGACACCATCTTTTTGACATCAGCCGTGAAGTCATGGTCGTGCGCAGCGGCTGAACACTGCAGCGTTTGTTTCATTCTCTGTAAATAGGAATACGAATAATGCGCATCGGCACACTTCTGTCGATAAAGAGAATCGTTGACCAGGTAGTTGACGATGGAATTCAGATTCAATCAGCTATTGATCCGTAAACGGTGAAGTCAACTTTCGGGCTTCAGCAGTTCTTAGAGTTTTGATTCCTTTTCAAAACTGGTACTCATTGAGTATATAAGAATAGAATGCAATTCAGGTCATGATCAAACAGAGCCCACACGCATCGCAGAAGTGCTGCCAGCACGCTGCCTTTTGCGAACACCGCTTGGCAGAAGCTGCCGTCGTCGCGTGACGACAGCAGCTACTTACCTAGGCTGCCGGAAAAGGCCCACAGGTCCGTGCGCGGAGAGCCGTGCTGGCGTGCGCGACGTGTCTTACAACGAGGGCTGGCAGTTTCCGGTTGGGAGAGATACTTGAGATGTTTTGATCGTTTTTTGTTCCCCAACGCTACTTGAAAAACACAGATGATCACAGATGCCTCCTTCGGAAATGCTATTTTGGTAGGT